AATTATCGAGCCATTTTTTGATTGAGGTTTTAATTTAAACTAGTTGTTCTTGAGAATTACCAATGCATTATTTAAACAAAGACAGCATATTTCCTGAATTAGAGGCACTTATGCAATTGTACTTCTCTGTGAAGTGAATGTAATTAGATAATTGAAAAAATAGAAATGGTCTCTAATGTAGAAGCTTATGACTGACCTGAAACACTGATAATGTACAAAAGAAGACAAGCTTAAGCCCTGTATTTTTAGAGTGCGACTATGCAGATGCGAGCGAGTGAATTTTCCAAGCGAGAGAGAATACGTGGCGAGAAGAGGTGATGACATTTTTTGCACTGTTTCTCGCTCTCATCTGTGTGGTCATAATAATTAATAGCGAGAAACAGAGTGCATAAAACGGCAGCGTGTGATAGAAGATTGATATTATTATATATGATAATAAAATTTTGCAACTAAAATTATACATGATATTAAAAAATAGATTTTGAAAATTTATTACACTTTTCTAATTTAAATAAAAATATTTCTCGCATCTTAAAAATAGAAGCATCATATTTCTTGAATTAGAAATATAGAAAAGTAAGAAGCAGCTATAATAGGATATAAAGTAGAAATTTATTAATATGTAAAAGTCATGCACTTTAAATTAGTCTTTGGAGCAGCTGTTGCTTTTAAATCAGTAACACACACAATTGCTTTTACATACTACTACCAGCACAGATTTTAATTTAACATTGTCGAACTTCAGAATGCTCCAATATCAAATGTACAAGCTCATTTAAAATTTTAAAAAGATATTGTAACTTGAGTAGGGCCACTGGAGCAGTCAAAAATGTTTATCATCATCCATTTATCTAATGTCTATTAAAAATCTACTGGATATAGTATGTAAAATCATCCGTTTGTGCTGTGAACTGTTCTAGCTTTTCGGAGTTGTCTTTTACACCAGCTTTTTCATTCTTGAAATGAATGTCCTGGAAGATATGTGAAGTTAATCTTGTTATCACTTACTTGTATAGTATTTTCTTACTTTTAATGGGAAAATTTAGAATAAATAAAAGTTATTTACATTTATTTATCTGTATTTCAATATCACAAAACTACATGATTGTAATGTGTATGAAATTTATCACGAAAAATGAATTAATATTCTTGCTTAATGAGGCATATGTTCCTTTAATTCTATCTGAATATATCCCCCTATCTTTATCTATTTTAGAATGTTTGCCACTACATTAAACACAGAAGGCCAATTCATATTTACAGTTGGAAAGATAAAAATGGGACACAGTTTACTTCTAAACATTCTGTAGAACAAAGTGTTACAATATATAAAATGTTTTGCATTAATAAGTTAATAGTTTAAAACTATTAACATTTTTTTCAATTGTTTTAATACAGATTTATAAAAATAATTTAGTTTGAAACATTTTCATACATACAATATTGTATATGTAGGTGTTTAGCATGAATATAGTAAAGCTAGTAAACATGCAAATATTTTTGTCTCATTTTTGACAGGTAAAAACAAATTTAAATTAATAAAATGTATAATATGTGTAGCTTTCCATTCACATATCATAGGTTCTTCTGTAGACAGGCTGTTTTGTAGGGAAAGTTTGAGGGTAATGCCGAAATAAATGAAATTCTTTGGTTTTGGACGAGTTTCCTTCTTAGGGAGTTTCTGCCTCTTGTAGGTTTTATTGAAATGGTTAGGTTGTGATCTCTCTGGAAAAATGCTGCCGTTAAAAGAGGTATGATAATATATGGGTAATAATTACTTTTCAAGTCCGCTATGTTATATTCTCAAATGTGTGTGTTTCGAATAACAAATGAATTTTGTAGATTGAAGTTGACATCAATTTTATAGTTGTTGTTACATGAAAAATATTGATTTAAATTAAAATTACAAAAGTACAGAGTGCAGTTTAGCTTTATATTTGACTTTTTAAACTTGTGTCAACATATTTAAGTTTGATGTATTCAAATATTCAATTTGCATTTTATGCGTTTAGTTAAATAAATTGTTTTTTTGTTTTAGCTCTGTTTTAAAATAGCAAAATCGATAAGCGTGTAAATTACAGTGCAAAAATTAATTGCCGTAATAAAGCTTATTATTCACTTAGTGTATTGAACTCTGACTGATCCACAATTTTTTTTTAATCATCAGCAACGTATTATTGCAGTTGATAATAATTATAAAAAAAATTGAGACAGTAGAGTTCTGTTTAACTGAGGTGAATTGTAAAAGAGTACTTTGTTGATAAAGAGAGAGCAATAATACAGTATGATTCAATTCGTGAATCTTTGCTAGGCAATGTGCATTACTCAAAAGGGCTCTAAAAGTTTACAAATTTCAAAAATCATTAAGATATTTTTATTATCATGATACCAGAATAAAGAAGGTTTAATTGTAATTATAGATTTGCTATTTCTTTAATAAGTATAATTTAAAAATCAAAATTTATGAAAAAATTTTGATGTAATATCAAATTCTGTTTAGTTATATTTTGATATTAATTATATTATGTAATAATTTATATACATTTTATTATATAATTTTTGTTTCTTTCTACTGTAATTGTTATATAGAATCACAGAACGTCTATCTATACATGCCTTTTAAAATGTAGGTAAGAGAGTATCATCAAAAAACCTAAAAATTTTGATATGTAAATTGGGTATGGACTATTGAACGCTTATGTTTTCAACTATAAACATCGCTAAGCTGTATGTATTAATAATAAATAATTGTTAATAGCACTTAATTAGCCCAATTAATTATGGCAACCATTTGGTTTATATATTCAGGCCAAAAGTCAAACTTCTTTAAATGGAACATGGCACTTTTTAATTTAGATTCAGATTAAATGTGAAAAAATAACTATTTGTGTTAAATTTTTTCTGAAAACACCTGTTAACACTAAAATATTTAATTAACATACCATCAACGTAGGAAAAATATAATAAAAAATGTTGGCACAATAATCATGTGTAATTGATACTGAATTAACAAAAATTGTTACTATTGCTGCATAGTATTTTTGATCGTGTAAGTTTTTCTGGTGTAACATACTTGATTCAGGTCTTAACTGTTCAATAAAAATGTTGAAATTGAGCACGATTCTGAACAATTCAAGCTCTGAAAAAGAATTTGTTGCCTGAAGAAGAATATCATAATGTAAAGATTGAATTGCTTTGTCTATTCTATGGATCATTTCATCCCTTATAGTTACATATTCATAATACACAAAGTCTTTTATCCTATCCCATAAATATATACACCAGGATGATGAGATTAGGTGATTGGGATGGATAATTGATTGGATCATGTTTATCTGACCACTTGTTGGAAAACATTATTTAATACTGCATGAGTAGCTCTTGATATATGGGATGAGAATCCATCTTGTTGAATCCACACATCTGGGCACAATTACAGAGGAGTATTTTCTAATATGACAAGGTCTGTCTATCAAGGGTGTATAGCTACCATCATTCAGATTTTTAAGATGAAAATCAGATGGTTAATTTCTAATCCAGTTGCAAAATGCAAATCCCAGTCAAAAATCATTACACTTCAATGTTTGGTGAAGAAACATTCTGAAAGAATGAAACTTGGTATCTTTCAAAATGTGTCGGATACATTCATAACTAACTCCAGAATCTAATGTTCGTCATCTCGTAGAATCTTGAGGATTAATTTTTACTGCTACTTTTTCATCCATAATTGGACAGTGGAACTGTTTGTGTTGTGATGAGGTTGAATGTCACCTTCATTTCTAATTCAATTAGCCAAATGTGAAAACACATTACATTAGTGAGGACCCTGATCAAGGATAATGTTCATACCACAATCTTTTGGCTGCAGCAGATTTATCTGGACACTCACTCAAAATCAGCATATTATATGCTTCTTCATTCAAATAGGACATGGCTACGGTATGACACCTTTGATAGGTATGTAACTGAAAATGAAAATGCAAGCAGAAGTGAAATGACACTAAAACTGTATTTGCTGCTGCACTATTTTTCAACCAGCTGAGAAAGTGAGACAAATGGTTTGTAATAAGGTTTTACCAAGAGAAGAGTTCATTTAAAGAGAAGAGTTCCATTTAAAAAATTTGACTTTTGGTCTGGATAGCCCATTTCCAACCAATACCGGAAGTTGAAAATGTCACCATTTGATAGAACATACCTGAATTAACTTACTGAATTACTTATCAAACTTTTTAAGATTTTTGATGAAACTCACTTTTCTTCATATTAACAGGGGTGTATGGATGGTCTGTCACCCTGTATAGGGTGGAAACAAAAAGAAATTGTAAAATAAAATTTATATAAACATAAAGCATGAAATATATATATTCTTTAACATTTATTTAATTAACATTTTGACTTATTAATGTAAACCAAAGATGATTTTTTGAATTCAGATACAAAGAAAAATTTTAACTTCATATGTTTCCAATACAGTCTTTAGTTTTTTTTTTTAATTAAAAGATTCTTAAAGAAATTAAGTAGAAATTCCTGCTGAATTCGCAAAGTTGATTTTTGATTTTAGTGAATCTAAATTCATAATGTATTCATTTGATTCAAAATTGTATTTTCTTTATAAATTAAATCATTTAGTATATCTGTTTACAGATGTTGATATCCTAGTTTAATAGGTTAACGTGTTGACTTAATTACTTTATTATAATGGTGGAATATCTGCACCGTAGTACTATAACACCAACTGTACTACTTTTCTATATTTTTATCTTTAATTATCTCTTTCTCTCTCAGAGATTGAATTCTGAATTTTGCTTGAAGTGGTGATAGTTTAATAAATTGAATTTTCCATCCCATCTAATAAAGCTTTGACTGTTGAAAGCATTGGAAATGAATGAGGGAGTGATAAATCCAAATTGATTATAATTAATATATTTCAGATGATTTTTATGTTGATTACTAAATTACAAATAATTTTAAATTAATTTTTTCATTTTTTCTTTTTACAGAATCTTGGTCAGCAAGTGTCTAGCCCAAATAGCAGCAACCCAAGTGGTGGCACTGTAGTTTAGCTGCATATATTATGCAGTAAATTATCACGCACTACCAGGACAGCTATAGATATATGATTATCTAGCCATTCTGTTTGATGAATTTTCAACTAGTAAACTATGCCAGTCATTGGCATATTATAGTAAACACTGGTTGGTCCATTGCTCTTCTAGTCCCAGTGAATCGTTACTTTGATCTGTACAGAAAAGCTGAAAGTGCTCACCGAGAATATTCACTAAATATAATGAAAAAAAAATAAATAAAAATTTTGTCCACATCTCCCCTAATATCCCACATCTGGAGCATAATGCAAATGCATCCATGCCAAAACAATAAAATGGAAGTTTTTATTTATAACAGTCTAGAGCCGATGCCTTTTTCATAGATGAATAGACTCTCCCTTCAATTTTTGTTTTTTGCCGGACATGAAATAAGAAAAATTTTACATTTCATAAAAAATAAAAATGAAAATTTTTGTCTTTTTATTATAGAATGCAGCATTTTTGTACGCGAATACCAATTATGGGAGAGATGCGTATTATAGACGAGACATAACATATTTAGAATAGCGAAATTTTGCACAAGACAGTTCAAAAGACTGCTTCGATAGAAATGTAGATTTATTTGAAATATTATCCAAAGACCAGATATCAATTAGTTGTCTTTCATCCATTATTACAAGAAAATATTTATTACGTTTATTGAGGACCAGTTTGTTACATTGTTAAAAAAATTTTTAAAATAATAAAAGAATGTGATGGAAAGTAGTAATGTACTATTACTACTATAAATAATGGGAATATTATGTTATTGTATTTAATAAATAAATGATACAAATTACATTATTTAGTTTTAACCCATTCGGAATTCCGTAGCATCACATTTCCGTCAATCTTGTTTAATTTGCATAAAAGTACAGACAGAACCTACAACGTTAGGACACGGTGGGAAATTTGCCAACAGAATTCCCATTACGATTTTTGGTTTTATCGAATTAGTATTCGTATATTCTCAGTCAAGACTTAACATCTCTGACTACATTTGATCTCAATCCGAACACGATACTCTAAAGCAGAGGAAAAAAAAATTCCGACTCGAATACCGAATTTCGCCACACTTAACGGACGGGCGCTACGGCCATCCGTTATCTCGACCCACCCACAAAAATGCAAATATTTAGATACCGTTATAATACAGAACAGGAAAATGTTAATACTGGGTTAAGTTTTAACAGTCCATTTGACGTTGGTCGCATCGGATGGCTTTTATGAAGTTTGTGTAAAAAAAAATTTAAAGCTTTGCATGTTGAAGAAGTCTTAGTTTATATCATAGAAGTTTCAAATATATTTATACTTTTGATATCTGTGATCCAAACGTAGAGTAGCCTTGCAGTTCCTAAGTGCTCGGTGTTGATTTGGATTTGACTCCATTTTGATCCTCTGCAACTGTTGCCCTTTTAAATGATCTTACTGTAATTTTGAAGTCTTTATTAAGTGCATGTTTCAGATTTTATTAATACATCGAAGTCTGCCCGTTGTATTTTATAAATTTCGAAATGAAATTTTCCATCCGCTTTCCATTTAGAACCAAGAAGAAATATTAAAACAAAAAAAGAAATTGTAAATTGTCTAGATTCAATACTAAACATTAATAACAGTGCTACAGTGAAAAAATAGTTAATGTTTATCAAATCTACAGGTATGTCTGAAATATCTTATGATTACTAAATGCTACCAGTTTTTAATTAAGTTTATCATTTCAAAGTCATTTTTGTTTTACCGAGTTTATAACAAATAATTCATTAGCAATAACTCCTGCATATCCAAAAAATTCTTAATGACGAAAAAAGAAAACATAATTATAACATTCCGTTATAAATTTTAATCTTTTGTATGCATTATAATTTATTTTGGGAAGTTCTCTTTCTATTTAATACTTATGTGAAAATGCCAATTATGTTTTAATAACAAATACTTCATAACTTCGTAAAAAGAACAAAAATGACCTGAGATTTAAAGAAACTAAATAAATAAATCATCACTTCCCAGGATCAGTTGGAAATTTGTTTAATGATAAAGTAAAAAGTAATGTAAAAGAACATATTCTTAATCAAAATTTAAAAAAAAACTTCTTATACCAAGCAACTCACCAAACAATGAAGCCAACCAAATAGAATATTTTAGCAACAGTTTAATGTTGACATTTTCTCTATTAACTGCATATTTTAAATACTTTCATATAGAGTACTGTAAGAACATTCTCATTCTCGTAAAAACACGTTTTGAAGGGACGAATGATATATTTTTGTAAATTTGGTCCAAATCTATTTGTAAATTTTGCAAGAAAAGTCTGCGGTGAGATCGACAAAACAGTTCAACGTCACGATCGTACGCTTATCAAAATAACACGATAAATGTTTTTATTGCATCTTATTGTTTTCCTATTATATTATATTTTTATTTCTGTAGAAAACTTCAATGATACTTCTATAGGAAACTTTAAAACTAATTTTTGGTTAAGCAGTTAAATTTTAAGCTTGTCATTTACATATACATTAACATAAATTTAGAAGTTCAAGGTAAGAATAAATAAATAGCCTCAGATTTGGCCATTATAATGATGAGTTTTCTTTAGTTTAAGTAAATGGATTCCTATAATAAATTTGGTATATTATACTATTTAAATAAATGTAATGCTTTGTTATTTGTATAATTAATAATTTAGATTAGCAAATGAATTTTCCTTTTGAAATTTCAATCATGTAATTTATAATATAGAAAAAAATGCATTTCTGATGTACTTTCCTGCAACTCGAACGTAAATTATTTCATAATTTTTTCAGAAGTAAAAAATTAATCACTCAAAATCAATAAAACATTGTTTATATATCATATATTTACTACCGCAACATTATAGTGATTTCGGCAGCAAAGGTGATTTCATTAGTGGCAGGAAAGAACAAACAAAACTCAAATTACTAAGAAATTATCTGACCAAGAAACGAAATATCTAAATTATTTTTGGTGAATAAAATTCCATTTAAATCATACTTCAAAAACAAAATGAAATTCTTTAAATTTATCAATAACGCCTGTTTATAATGAAAACTCTTCATTAATAGGGCTTTTTTAGAGCTTGTCGCCTTAAGAAGTTCTTTTAACATTTGCATAACGAATTTGACCAAACCACGGTAGCGAGAGATAGACGTAACTAGGAGAGAGAACTTACGAAAATTTCCGAATACCAAACCCGAACTTGAACGTAGTTCCCTTGCAGTGGTAGGCAAATGCCTTTAGCCGCCTCGACAGGTAATATTTTTTACTGTTTGACTGTTAAAAAACTGCATTTTGCAAGAAAAACTAGTTTTAATATTTTTTCAAAAAAAAATTTATCTATTTTTCGAAAATTCGTAAATTAATTTGTAATACGTGCATTCTAAAATGCGATGAAAATGTTCCATTACGGTTTCCATTTTACATGGCTAATAATTTCTTATGCAGTATTAAAGAAATGCTTTTATTAATATTTAAAGTGTTAAGTTTTGAAATTGGTTTATTTAATAATAAAATTAATGCTTTACTTTAATCAAACAACTCAAATTTATGAACTATTTTTAGGCTGTAATTTCAAAAAAAAAAAATACAGACAAGAAATAGCTCATAAATGTCTGCCGCTTGAGCCACATGTAGGCTATCGTGTGTTACGTAACTGTTTTTGACTTGCAGTAATGAGATCTATTAGTTTCTGCAATTCACTTCAGTTAATTGGGACCCTTAATATTTAAACCAAAATTAAATTTACAGTATTGTGTAATCCAAATCCATGATATATTTAATTATAGTCAATTTCTTCACTTAAACTCTCATTGATATATCTACTGATACAACTTACTAATTCATTGCCGATTCCGATATTCGGACTTTTTCAATGAAAAATTTTGTTATGCCAATAACATATTTTTTGTAAACTTTGATTACTAACAAAATTAGAGATTGCTCTGGTCGATATTTTGCGGAGAGATTGCAAAAATCTTGCAGCACAGTAATAGAAAAGCATCTTCCGGGTGGATTCTACATAGTGGTTGGCTTCATTGTTGATTGATTTATAACGGTAAGTTAATCAAAATAATAAAAGATTTATTCTTACGTAATTACGTTTTCTTTCATCGAACGACAAATTTCCTTTTTGATCAAGGGAAACAGTCTTATTTTCTCCTATTTTATTAAACAATTACTAAAAATTTTAGGTATCATAAAATAAAATCTTTTAATTTTAATATATTACATTTGAGAAAAGTGCCAATTTCAAAATTTTAAAATAGAAATGAATGAAGTGCATACTTGATTATTTTTTGTGATGTGCAGGTGGAGTGGATTGATAAATGCATATTACTGTGATCGAACGGGTGGAAAGTGTCGTAAGATCATTTATCCTTTCATTCCTATTTGCTGTTGTCAATGTGATTTAAAATTGATGTTAAGTAACGACGGGTGTACCGGCGGTAAAGAAAGCGGTAAGGTCGGTGAGGTTTTGACTTTTTTGAGTAAAAAAAAATGTTCTTACTGGTGTGCTGTCCTGTATTTGTCATTATCTGATGGCTCAATGAAAACAGTGAGCGTGGTGTCCAAAATTTGCAGATGTCAGTAAAAATATGCAATAGATACGAGAGTTCTAGTTTCTAGAGTATCGTTCCTCTATGTTTCTAGGTCATTATGCAAAAGTAACCAAAATTTTAAAAAGATAGAGTCGTGAATACAGTTCCTCATTCCAAATTAAAAAAATATAAATCCATACCATTCACACTCTAGTCTGAAAACTGTAACTGGTATTCCAGTATTTGTGCACATAAATTTGCCGATTCCTAGCCTTTTATAGTGTATTGTGTTCCATTAAACCTAATTTTCTGTTACCGTGTGATCGTTTCAAATTACACGTCGGGAATAGATGGATAGGCGAAGCGTGGGCAAAGGGGTCTGCAACGTGTCAGAAACCATACTGTACATAATTTTACATCATTTCCCCCACTTTTCATTCATCTTGGCCATTGTTTTCCAAGAAATCGGAAGATGCAAGAACGGGTATGTTCTGTAATATAATCTCCAAAGAGAGAGCTGTAAGAAAGAATTGCAAGCATTTTTGTATATAATGGTACAAGCGAAAAATACAAAATAAGAACCTTGTAGTTTGTAGGTTTACACGGAGGGTCGGAAGTGCCGAGGTGCCTCATTTTTCACGCATGTACTGTACAGACAAGGTCGACAGATAATATATTCAAACAAAAGAAAGACCTGTTAAAAATGAGTCATAATTTAAATCAATGTATCAATAAGTTTGACTTGTAAAAGAGTAATAAATCGTTTTCCAGGAAATGCCTTGTGTTCTGATTTTTATATTTGCCAAAACTATCAACGTTTTACGCTTGTATACCATAAGATTTCTGTGTTTTAAAATTAATCGTTCATAAAAATCACTAAATACCTTGCGACGATAAAACTTGTCTTTACGTTTTCTCAACATATATTTATCGAGGATAAATATATTTTAATTTCGTGACAAAAATATAGTGGAGCCGTCCAGTCGGACCGATTAGTAACAAATGTTTCACAATAGAGATTGCCATTATTGTGCAGACTTTGAATATAATACATGTACATTTATGCATTTAATTAACCATTGAACCCTTGCACAGGAAAATGTATCCAACAATTTGGCAAAATTGAGTTTGATAGAAAAATACATTACTTAAGTAGGGGTGCATCGTTTGAAGAAAAATATCTGTGTTCAAATTTTTAAAGATGACAGTTCAAATATTTGTTGCATGGAAAAATGTATCTACCGGTAAGTGCAGTGTTTGAGTAGAAAAACAAAAAACAAAACTAAAATTGTGATAAAAATGTACAGCAAGGTCTGAAAATTATCTCTGTTATACAGTTTAAATATCTTTTGATGACCCCACAGTGACCACCGTGTGCAAAAATCACAATGTCATGCAATTGCGGATGGCAGAGAGGAGGTGGATGTGGTACAGAGGTAATGTATGGATTTCAAAATCAACAGATATTTCTTTGCCTCCTCTATATAGAGGAGGCAAAGAAATACGATGGCCTATTGCTCATAAGAACAGCAAGGAAAACGAGATCTCGTGGGCATGTCAAGAGTTTTAAAAGAACAACATGCCGAGTTATACAGGGTGTTGCAGTCAGAGGAAGAAACCGTTATCGGCAATTCTTAATACTGTAGAAAGTTTAGAAAATAAAAGCTATTGTTTGGGTTTACAGTGAAATACTGTATTGTTTACTCTTGAAATAAAATAATACCTAAAGACAGATACAATGTTTTTCTAATGTTCTCATTTTCCAAAAATCATTGCTTTTATGAAATTTTTAATCCAGAGCATATCAAAAAACATTTTGGGCAGTTCATCTCAATATTTGCTATAAAGATAAAAATAAAAGGTTAATAAAAAAAACAAATTTACTTACTTTAAAAATTTTTTCCCATGCTGTTCATGGAGAAATGTCACAGATACAATGCTTTTCCATGACCACAAATATTATTTTCATTATGACTCAAAAATGAATGTTTCTTTCTAAACTCTTTTTATGGTAAAATCACTCCATTTTATCTCTAATTCAGTGTTTGTTCAGTATTGATGTATGCTGTGTAAGGAGGAATCAGTTGCAGATACGTTTTCCCGAGCAAGGGCTCAATTAAAATAGTTGATTTCTTACTCTAATTGCCATTAGGCTTCTAAAGATCAATAGTTTATAGTATTGAAAGTTATAGTGCACAGAAATAAATAAAAAACTCATTAACTTTCTTCAGTTGTGAGTTTATTTGATGATATACATACGGAACGTTAAAAATTACCATAAATAGTTGTAATACAGGCACAACCAAAGAGATTATGGTAGGCCTTAAAATTCTGGCAGATGCCATTAAAAATGTTAAAGAATTCTCCCATAGAAAACGCATATAAAAATTTTTGACAACAGAAGTAGATGGAAGAATTAAGTAGGAATCTAATGCAAAAAATAGTTTGGTTATATTTTCTTCTGTTCTCAAGAATTTTTGGAAAAGCATTACGTTTAATATCATCTACTGGAGATCAAGTGCAAAGCCAAAGAGAGTACCAGAGCCGTAATAGGCAGGTGCATTTGCACAGGGCCTACTTGAAAGGGGGGCCCAAACTGCTGTTCACAAGAAATTATAGTTTTAAATCTTAAATTTTTCCTATTTTTTATTGGCGATTACATTTTGCCTTATTTAGACCCTAGATGTCTGCTCACCAGTGTTACCAACCGTGGCGACTTCTAGAGGGACGTAGTGAGATAGCGGAGACTGCAGACAAATCAGCCAACAGTAGCGACTTTTGAAATTTTGTTTATTTATTTTTGAGAAATTTAAATTTATGTTTATAGTTTTCAAA